TAGTTGGCTTTGCTGGTCTACCATGAAATACTATCTAAACCAGGAGTCAGCAAACTTTCCATAAGTGGCCAGACAGTAAATATTTTAGGCTTTGGGGTCTCTATTGTAACTACTTTACTTTGCAGGAAGAGCACAAAACCACCACAGATCGTATGTTAATAAGTAGGTGTGCTGTGGTACTGTCACCAGCAGGCTAGACTTGGCCCCAGACTGCCCTGATCTAGACCAATCCTCTATCAATTTCTCAGTATCTTTCTAGTACTTTCTACTTGGCTCCTTCTTACAAAAGAGTTTTGAATTTCATTAATATCTGGATAACAAACACTGCTCACTCTTGAGAAATGTTTTTGAAATTTGTATTGAAATATCAATGTCATTAACACTGTCAAATCAATCTTTTTTTTCCAAGCAATGTCAGTGAAAGTACTGACCATATGCTACATTAATCAAAATGTTTTGAATAACTGTTCAAAAACTTCCGACTGTTCAAAAAGAAGAAGCACTTAATTTAAAATTTAATCTTTAATGCTTTTGCATAAACATAAGCCTATGTTCTGACCTTTCTTAAGGCAAACTCTTTGCCTTAAATGGTAGAATATTTAGAAATTTGCACAAAATACAAAAAAAATTAAAGCACTGTTTTGGACAGTTAAAATAGAAAGTTGTATGACTCTGTATGTGTATAGATTTTTATACACATATGTATATACAGGCTGACTTGATCTAGACTAGTAAATCCACCCTGCAAGTTAACTCCCTGTTGAAATGGTTGCCTTAAGGTGTTTGCTTAGTGGTGCACATAGTGTGGTTAATCATTAGCTACATTGTTTCCCAATGAGTAGAGCAATGGGAAGCACACTCTGGCCTACCAGCCTTTGAAAGCATGTGCCTGACCTGTGTGTGTGCAGAGATGATGTGGATGTGAGCAAGCATGAAAGACAAAGCTGCTACTCTCATGAATGCTACTGTAGGGTTTTTTTTCTTCTGTCAAACTGCTACTTCTATTATGGAAGACAAAAGCATTTCCATTTCAACAGTTTGTCAGGTTTATTAATGTTGGTCAAAAACTGATATGTTATAAAAAATGAAAAAAATCTATTAATTTTGAGGCAAAATTATAAAAGTAAATGTGTAGGTAACCTATTTATATACTGCTATATAAAGTATTTTTTGAAGAGAGATATGCAAAGAAATTATTACCTACATGAGATGTATATTTACAGAATTTTTTCATCCTGGCTACTGAGAATATTAAAAAGTGGATATATTTAACCATAACATACTGTGATTCATCAAGTAGCACAAAGTTTCATTTCATGGAATTTATCTGTTGACGTTAATTTAAACTATCACTTGTTTTATCATGTGGGAACATAGGTTATATAAACAAAATATAGGATTTTGAACTAACGTTGATTCAAGTTGTGTTGTCTTACCATACTGTCTTTTTTTTTTTTGGTACCGGGGACTGAACTCAGGACCTTGCACTTGCCAGGCAGGTGGCGGAACCACTGAGCTAAATCCCCCAGCACCCCCATACTGACTTTTCTAAGTGCTGCCAATTAAAATGGGAAGCATTAATCTGTTTTGAAATGTTTGCCAAAACTTTGGTAGTATCTTTAATAAAGATATTTGTCTCTAGCATCCAAGAAAATAAAAAAAATTTTAATCTTTAACCTACCTCTCCTATTTTATTTCCTATTACTCTCTGTTCATTTCCTCTGTATAAGGATAAAATCACGAAAAACAACACTGTATAAAAACTTGTAGCGGCAGAAAAATACCAATTTCAGAATAGTAGTTATATGTGCAAAAAGAAGAAAATACTAGGGATTTTAACTATATCTGAGATGACTTTCAAAAACTATGAATATGATAATGAAAACACTAAAGCAAAGATCTAAAATATGGCAAGATACTAAACTTTAACAAAGCTATGTGGTAGGTGATAAGAGTACTTTTTATATCATTCATACTTTTTGTCTTTAACAGGGTTGATGAACTATAGTATATGGGCCAAATCTGGCCCACTGCCTGTTTTACACACCATTTTGTACCCATTCCCACCCTGCCCACCGCTGAGGATTAAACTTAGGGGTGCTCTGTAACTTAGCTATACCCTAAGCCCTTTTTACTTTAAAAACTTTGAGACAGATCTTGCTAAGTTGCCCAGGATGGTCTTGAACTTGCCATCCTCTTGTCTTTAGCCTCCAGAGTATATGGGATTATAGTTGTGTGCCACCACATCCCACTTTAAGTTTTGTTTTTTTTTAAAGAGAAAGTTTGCCACGGGACATTGATTTTGTGACACATAAAAGCCTAAAATATTTACTGTCTCGCCTTTCACAGAGAAAGTTTACCAACTCCTGACTTAAAACATTTCATGAGAAGAAAAAATTAAAAGAAAAAGTGGAGGCAACTAAATCAAAGAATGGTTTGTCTTCTTGTATTAAGTATCAACATGAATATGACATCTTACTTCTTTAGTTTTTCATTAATAATTTTTCAACTTTTATCAATCAGAAATCTCAAAATTTTATTTTATGATATTAAAATTTATTTATAAGAAGTATGGGAAACAGTATTTTAATCAGATTGTTATTTCATTCCATACTTGTAAAAAATACTGGGAAGCTCATTTAGAGCCCAGTATGGCATTATTAGCAGCTATACTTCGGGACCTCACTGTGGGCCTGTCAGGGCTTCTGAGATGAGAGGTATCAGCAGGAATCTGTATCATTTTTTTCCATAGCAGACAACTAAGGAAGAGGGTTGAAAAAAGCAAAATAAAACAAAAACCAAAATGCTGTATTACAGTAAGTGTTTCTGGCTATATTGGTTTTGAGATGTGGTATAGGTCATCAGAGAAGGTCATAGTTTTCTTTTAATAGACTGTTGTGCTATGGAGAAAACAGTGAGTTAATACATCTAAATGCTAAATGCTTAGCGTGCTTTAGCTCACAATAACTGGTAGCTCTTAAGATATTACCATTGCTATATAGATTTTTGTTTTCTTTATAAAATTTTAAGCACACCAGTATTTTGTGACTATGAAAGGATTTTTTTATTTTTAAAATTAATTCCCAGTTTCTCTTCCAGTGACAACCCAAGTAAAGATATTAACATCTGTGAATCAACACAAGTCTTACATGAAGAGATTTTACAGAAATGTTCAGTGAACATCTGAAGATATTTAAACTCAAATCATTTTATAACCTTAAAAGATCCATTGTTTTAAACTTTAATGTCACTAAAAACTAAAAATGTACACAGAATAGCAGCCACAAAATATATACCGGATAAAACTATTCATCTTATAGCCCACTTTCTTTCCCCTGCTCAAATGAAATTTTTAATAAGACTAAAATAGTATATCACTTGATTTTTTTTTTTTTTTTTTTTTGTACCAGGGCTTGAACTTGTGTCCTTGTGCTTGCACAGCAGGCAGCGAAACCACTGAGCTAAATTCCCTGGCCCCTTATCACTTGATTTTTAACATGACCACATAAATGTTACTCATAATATCCTATTTAAAAAATATTACATAACATTTAAGAATATACAAAAAAGGTATAATCAACATGACAAAATACCGATCGTTCTAGAACCCAGATTATGAAAGAGAACACTATTTCTAATACTGAGTCCCCCTCCCACACCCTTCACCAGGGTTAACCATTGTTCTAAACACTGTATTTGTTGCATCCACATATTTCTTCATACTTTTGTACAAATTTACTTATCTTAAAAATTCATATCATTATTTTATAACTTGTTTTTGTCTGTGAATTCATACAAAATGACACATGTGAACATTCATGTGATAGAGATCATGTTTACCAAACAGTAGTCCAAATGCCTCTGTATGCTTCCCAGATTTTAAGACGGGAGCATTGGACTATGAGAAGTTAATTGTGTCATGTTTGGGACAAGGTGGTTAAAAGCATCATCCCTTCTCCTTCATCAATGAACTGATAAAGCTACATATTCCAGATGGGTCAATGAGGCAACAGTAAGAACATGGAGCTTCCATCAGCCTGGGTCCTTGAATAAAATGGCAAAGAGTCCCTCGATAACTCATAACTTGTGAAAAGAGCAAGGGATAATCTTGTGTTAAGACATACATATTCAGATGGGCAGATAACTGCTTTCCTGCAAGTATTCAGAAGCAATGCTACTACTAGGTGGTACACTAGGTGGATACAATCAAGCCTTTTGAAAATACTTTTAGGATTCTAGAATGATATTTATTCTCACTCGCATGGAGAAGCCTATTTCATATGCTCTAGTTATTACCTTTTTTGAAAACCTATCGCATTAACAATACTTCCAAATACATGTTCACATACTGTTTTTCTGGAATGTTTTGTCTCCCCAACAGAATTTTAAGCTCTTTAAGAACCATGTCCTTGTTAAATGTGGTGGACCATTCCTGTAATCCCAGCTAGGTGGGAGGCTGAGGAAGGAAGATCATAAGTTAAAGACCAGTCTGGGCAACTTAATGAGACCCTACCTCAAAATAAAAAATAAAAAGGGCTGGGGACATAGCTCAGCGCTAGAGTACCTCCCTAGCATGTGCAAGGCCCTTGGTTTAGTCCTCAGTACTGAAAAAAAATCATGTCCTCTCTTCTCTTGTATTTTATTCTTTACCTTATAGAAGTCTACACAGGCATGCTATAAGGACTGGATCCTTGGTTGACTGGGAAGGATGAGGACTAATATTAAATGCCTGTTTTATGTAAGCACTGTACTTCAGTAGTTGTGCTTTACATACACTATATAGAGCCTTACTATTTCCACTATACAGGTGAGGATATTAAGGCTAGAAAGATGTGAAGAGGGCAGTCTGTTTGACTCTTAAACCCTTTACTTTTTACTAAGTGAGATCATTCCTAGTGTAGAACATTAAATAGGTAACAAAAATAGATTTTGTTTATACATTTTGCAAACATTAAAACATTTCTTTAGAGAGCTCAGCACTCAAGATTACTGGGTCTTACCTTGATCACTTCTGGAGTCTGCTGAATCAAAACCATTGAAGTAGTGTCTTTGGGTTTATCACCAACAGGACCCTTACAGACTGATAAATTGGCCTTAGAGGAAGTTGTCAAGGTTTCCTGGAGAATTTGCATCATTTCTTTTTCCTGAGATAGGCTACCTCTGCCTGATTTGCAGTCAACTAGTTCTTGAGCAAAATCTTCAATACTTTCCAGAATTCGCAGCAAGAGGGCTCGATCCTCTTCCTCTATTTTGTGTCCATTGGTTTCAATAATTCTTGATAGACAAGAAGGTGAGACTTTTTCCACAGGTGAAGAGACTTTAGATTTAGGTTCAGTGTCTACAGGGAGCTGACTAGTCAAATGACCGTGACTATTTAGAGAACTGGAGTTTTTACCCTTGCCAAGTGGCTCTCTTAGAGAGGTCTCCATCTTCTGTGAAAATGATTCCAAATCCATTAACAATTTATCTATCTCTTTCTGACTGTTGGAGTTAATAAAGTTTCCCTGGTCTCCTGTTTCCACTTTAGGAACTTTTGATTTAGGGTCTTCTTCAGCTGGATGAAAAATTGGTTTCTCAAATATCTTACCAATTTCATTTTGTATTGTGGCACAAGAATTTTTAAGATGAGTACCATGGTCTGAAAATTCTGCACTATGTTCATTTACTTTTAACAACTTGTGACTGGGTCCATTCTCTGTCTTTTCTCCTTTATTTAATAATGCCTTCTTTCCATCTGACTCTTCTTCAATATAAAGAGTTTCCATTAAGTCTCCAGAAGAAACATTCTCCACAGGGTTCATGGTTAATGATGGTGACTGAAGCTGGGCAGCTTTTAAAGTTCTGAGATCATTTACTCCCAAGCTATATAAGGAATTTGTAGAGTTGTTTGGAATGGTTTTTACAATGTCCATTTTCCTAGAATTATGCTTGTCATCTTGCAATTCAATAGTTTGAAATTGCCCAGAGTTAGGGGCTGAGAGCTGGACAACATCTTCATATTTAGGGGGCTGTTCAGTGCCATATATTGGTGAGAAGGGAGTTAACTGTAAACTAGGCATATTACTGACTAGTTCTGTTAAATCTATGGACTCATTATTTTCAGATTGCATGAATTCAAATGGTAACTTTTTCAGGTAGGATGCTAACCTGGTCATTACATTCATATAGACAGTTTCAGAACTAGGAATAGTATCATTACCACTTTCTTCGCTGATGGTACCTCCTGACTTTTTCTTTATGCATTGTTTTATGATGTCTGTGCATTTTTTCAAATCCTCAGAGCATTTCAGTAAGATGTCTAAACACATTTTTATGTCTGTGGCAGAAGAAAAATTATTTATTTTATGTCTTTGCAAAATCTGAGTAACCAGGTCTTCTTCAGAGAAGTTTTGAAGAAGCATTGAAGTTAAGTTTGTCTCAAGTGAGTTTCTATGGGACAAAGATTTTTCCTCAACCGAAGAACTCCGGAGTAAACCAAAGGATGGAGAGGTCTCATCATTGTTATAATGGCCACAGAGCAAGTCAAAGTCAATTGACCGTCTATTAAATGAGTCAGACTTAACTTTCCTTCCCTTTTTGTAAGCCACATGGTTAGAGTTTTTTAGTTTTTCAAAGGAAAATTCCTTTATTTTTCCACTGGCAAAATTGATTGCTTCTCCTGCAATGTCCTTTAAGTTACAGCTATTCTGAAATGTAGAAGTTCTCTTGACTCTAGGTATGCCTGTAAGGACCTGATGGGGATAGTCACCTTCAGCTGAGGAAAGCCCATTTTCATGGGGTAGAAACACAGAATTCAGATCTGCATCTTTGAACTGAGGCACAGGGATGTGCAAGAGGTCTGCACAAACACTATGATGTACCACAATGCAGTCAACTCCATGTGTGAAAGTGTGGCAGGTTCCAGTGCAATAATGTATAGCTTGCTCAAAACGTCGATCTATTACCACACTGCTGTAGTGGTTCACAGTACTAACTACAAGTCGGTAAGTTGCTGCCATAATATCAAATCCACTGTGGTGGGACTTGGAACTTTCTAGATCTTGCTTCAAGAAAAGTCACCTAAATGACACTTAGCTGAAAATATATTTAATGACAGTAATCTGTGGGTACAGATATAATGACTTCCCACAATGGGAAACCATTTAAATTTGAGGTCTGACTATCAGTATACAGTAGCTGCTGCACATGTGTGCTTGTATTAACAAGTCTAATAATTTAATAATTGTTGTTTAGTTTTACCTAGTAATTTGATACTACTGGGTTATTTTTATAAAGACTATCCTTTTAGTTCTTCAATGGTTCTACAATGCAGAAATTTGTCATAAATTTACTGTCATAAATCTCAGTTGGTAGTATAGATGTATTGTGATAAGTGAGTCCTCCAAAGGTTTAAATGATCCATTTTTCTGTGAACGACAAACCTATAACAAAAGAAAAAAATAATTTAAAGGAAATACCATTTAATATAAGAAGCTTTCTTTCTTCTTTGTATCCTATATGCAGTTAATCACTAAACCCTATTCCTTACTCACTGATACTTAACACAGGCCTGTGTTTTGTTAGTCTATACTCCTTACTACCTAGGAGTAGTATTACTTCAACTCTGCCTTGTTGCATCTGCATTCCAGATGAAATTTCTTATCCCACTCTCCTTGCCCCCTTATATGACTCTAACAAATTTAGATTTAGACAGCTTTCTCATCCCTCATAGCTCAAGAATTAACAGTCTGATTCATTTTCAAGCCCTACAACATCTGTTCCCATCCACTTATATCTGAATTTTCTATTAACAACACAGATCTTTTTTTTCTGTTACCAATGTTTGCATCCATCAATCTAGCATTCTCAAAGACTAACACATTGCCTGTTCATGGTACTGAAACTTTCTCTACACATGGAAATTATTCTCACAACATCTTTTCTTTTCCTATTTAGAGAAAAACTGTGTTACTGTTCTTGATCATATCCTCCCGAGTCCGTCTCATACAGATGTCTCTTCATTAAGTAAATATAATTTAATTAATCATTGTCTTACTGTAAAAAAGCTTTTAAAACATATAGTTGCTTTCCAAAAAGTTTATATCAATGTACATATTCAATCAACAATTTTTTGTTTCCTAGTATTGGCAATCAAACCCATGAGTGTGCTACCCCCTAAGCTACACTCCCAGTCCTCTTTATTTTTAATTTTGAGACACAGTCTCACTAAGTTGTCCATGCTGGACTTGAACTTGCAGTTTTCCTGTCTCAGCCTCCCAAGCAGCTGGGAGTTACAAGGGATGCATGACCACACTTAGCTTCAATAAACAAATATGGGGTTCCTCCTATGTACCAGATATTAAGTGCTAAGGATACAGCAGTGAATAAAGTCTTTGTCCTTATGGAGCTGACAGTATAGTTGTAAAAAAAATAACAACATGTAAGTAAACATCTAACTTATCAGATGGTTATATGTTATGAAGTAAAATGGGGCAGACAGGGTTTAGAAAGGATGAAAAGGTGTTTTTTATAAAGGGAAGTCAGGGAAGACGTACTGACAGTCAGGGAAGACACTGAGCAGACATCTGAAAGAAGAGACAGAGCATGCCAAGGAGCTGTCTATTATAAAGGAAGTCATCTTAGGCAGAGTAATCATAAATGCAAGGGCCTTGTTGTGGGAACATGCTTGATTTACTAGAAGAATGACCAACAGGCTATAAAGCGAATGGAGCAGAGAAAGCAAGGAGGAGAACATGGCAGATAAGGAGAGAAAGTAAAGGTGGGCGGCTACATCATGCAGGGTCTAAACATTACAGTGAAATTGGCTTTAACTCTCAGTAAGTTGGGGAACAACTGATAGCAGTTGAACAGAGGAGTGACATTATCAGCTTGACATTTTATTTTTTAATAGTATATCCTTTTATTGGTACATTTTAGGTATACAATATAATGACATTCATCACTGGAGATAAGCACCTTTACATAATCTCTTGACTGTTATTTTCCCCCTTCCCCTGCCCTCCCTTCAACTACTCCATCCCTCTCTATTAATAAAGACTTTGTTTCCTTTTTTCATTTTCTCATATTAATTCCATTCCCTTCTTTCCTTACCCCTACCCCTCCCACTTCCCCTTCC